TCTTTCAACTCCTTGGTTAAATTAATTCCTAGGTATTTGGTTCTTTTTAATGCAATTGTAAATGGAGTATTTTCTTAATTCCTTTTTCTGGTATTACATTATTAGTATACAGACATGCAACAGATTTCTGTACATTAATTTTGTATCCTGTGACTTTACTGAATTTATCAGTTTTAATAGTGGAATCTTTTTTTTTGGGGGGGTGGAGTCTTCAGAGTTTTCTATATATAGTATCATGTCATCTGCAAATAGTGAAAGTTTTACTTCTTCCTTACCAATTTGGATGCCTGCTATTTCTTTTTTTTTATCTAATAGCTGCAGCTAGGACTTCCAGTACTATGTTGAATAAAAGTGGTGAAAGTGGACATCCTTGTCTTGCTGCTGATCTTAGGGAAAAGCTCTCAGTCTCTCCCCATTGCGTATGATGTTAGTTGTAGGTTTTTCATATATAATGCCCTTTATTATATTGAGGTAATGTTCCATCTTATCCATTTTGTGGAGGGTTTTTATCATGAATGTTTGTAGTATTTTGTCAAATGATTTTCCTGCTTGTATTGAGATGATAATGTGGTTTTTATTCTTTCTCCTGTTAATGTGCAGTATCATACTGATTGGCTTGCAAATATTGAACCACCCTTGTATCCCTGGATTACGTCTTAAGTGATCATGGTGAATAATCTTTTTCATGTGTTGTTGAATTCAATTTGCTAGTATTTCGTTAGGATTATTGTATCTGTGTTCATCAGGGATATTGGCCTGTGGTTTTCTTTTTCTAGTGTCTTTGGTCTAAAATTTTGTTTGTAATATTTGCATTTATGTTATGAGGAATGTCGGTCTGAAGGTTTTTCCTTCTATTGGCTTTTTGTCTGGTTTTAATATTGTATAATATCTGTATAATATTGGCCTCATAGAATTAGATTGTTAGAATTCTCTCCTTTTCATTTTTCTAGATTTTTTACATAATTGGTATTGTTTCTTCTTTAAACATTCAGTAGATTTCACCAAACCAATCTTGTGGACTGGAGTTTTCTTCAAGAGAAGCTTTTTAACTAGAAATTCAATTTCTTTGAAAATATAGGGTCACTTCTTGAGTGAGCTTTGGTAGTTTGTGTCTTTCAGGAAAATTGTTGATTTAATTTAAATTATCAGATTTTTATGGCCAATATGTTGTTTGTAATTATCCCTATTATCTTTTTAATAGGAGTTAGCATCTGTAGTGAGGTCATCTCTCTCATTCCTGATATTGATATGTATCTGATTAGTTTATCAAATGTATTGATATTCTCAAAGAATCTATTTTTTATTTAATTTATTTTTATCTGTTTTTCTGTTGTTATTTCACTCATTTACTCTCCAGTCACCTATTTCTTTTCTTCTGCTTACTTTGGGTTAAATTTTCTTTTTTTGGTTTTTAAGGTAGAAATTGAGGTCGTTGACTTGAGACCTACTTTCTTTACTATTTGCTTATTAGTACTCTAAATTTCTCTCTGTGTCCTGTTTTTTGATATGTTCAAAAATATTTTTAATTTTCATTTTGATTTCTTCTTTGAACCCATAGGTTAGTTATAATTGTGTGACAACAAATATTTGCAGATTTTTCAGATAATGTTTCTGTTTTTTTGTTTTCTACTTTAATTCCACTGGGGTCAGAGAACATACATTATATGACTTGAGTCCTCTTAAGTTTATTGAAACTTGTTTTATGGCCCAGAATATGTTCTGTCTTGATAAATATTTCATGTGCACTTGAAAACAGTGTATATTCTGTGGTGTTGGGTGGAATGTTTTATAAATGTCGATTAAGTCAAGTTAACCTTTAATACCTTTAGTGATTCTCTGTCTCTTATTGAGTATTGATTATGAATTATTATCTGTTTTTCCATGCAGTTCTATTAGATCTTTCTTTTGAAGTTCAATTATTTGGAACATAAACATTTGAGATTATTATATCTTTTTGATGAGTTGACATTTTATAATTATGAAGCGACCTTTTTTTGCCTGGTATAATAGTCATTGCTTTATAATCTTTTTCTGATACTAGTATTGCTACTCTATTTTTCTTTTGTCTCATGCTAATGTGATATATCTTTTTCCATTCTTTTTACTTATAACCAGTTTGTATCTTCGTATTTGAAGTGCCTTTCTTATAAGCAACATAAAGTTTGGGTCCTGCTTTTTTAATACAAACTCTGTCTTTTACTGGGATATTTAGATCACTTGCATTTAATATGATATTGGTATGATTAGATTTTAATCTATCATCTTACTGTTTTATTTCTATTTGTCCCATCTGTTTTATTCTCTCCTATTTTCCCTTGGAAAACTGAGTATTTTTATGATTCCATTTTTTAATTGTTGGTTTTTTAGCTAAAATGTTTTGTGATTTTAGTTTTGCTTTGAGATGTATAATATACATGTTTAATTTATTATAATCTACCTCCCAGTCATATTACACCACTTCACTGATAGTATAAGAACTTTACAAATGTATACTTCTATTACTCTTCTCTCAATTTTTGTCCTATTGTTATCATATGTCATTTTTATATATATTATAAACCCCACATTACATTCTTAATTATTTTTATTCAAATAGTTGCCTTTTTAGAAGGTTTAAATATTAAAAAGAAAAGCATTGTATGCTTACTATACAATTCCCATTTCTAGTATTCTAATGTTCCTGCCTAAAAGACATTGTTTAGCATTTTTATAGTGTGAGTGGACTTGTAATGTATTCTTTCAGCTTTTGTATTTATAAAATACCTTCATTTCTCCTTTATTTTTTAAGATACTGTCTCTAAACATAGAATTCTAGATTACAGGTTTTTCTTTCAGTACTTTAAAGATGCTGCTCCACTGTCTTCTCACTTGCATTGTTTCCAATGAGAAATCCTCTATATGTAATGTATTTTTGGAATGCCTTTACATTTTTTTTTCACTAGTTTTGAGCAATTTGGTCATAATATGCTTTGGTGTAGTTTTCATGTTTTTTTATGCCTCAGGTAATTTTGAGCTTTTTGGGTCTGTGTTTATAGCTTTACTCAAATTTGGAAAAAAGTCTGCCATTCTTTCTAAAATGATTTTTTTTTGTCTTTCCATCTTTCTCCTCTCCAATAACTTGCATATTAGGCTGCTTGAAGTTGTCCTGTAGCTCACCAATCATTTCTTCTTTTCTTTTTTTTTATTATTCTCTGCTTCCTGAGTTTCATTTTGGAAAATCTCTAATTACTATGTCTTCAAGTTTGCTAACATTTTCTTTTGACATAGGTAATATGCTGTTAATCCTATCCAATGTATTTTCATTTTATATATTATAGTTTTCATCTCTGGAAATTTGATGTGGGTCTTTTTTTATCTTTCCTATATATTTAACTTTTTGAACATATGAAATACAGTCATTACTTAATCAGTGTTAGAGCTTAATATTCATGACTGCTAATTCTAACGTGTGTCAGTTCAGAGTCAGTTTTGATTATTTTCTTTATTATGGCTCATGTTTTCCTGTTTCTTCGTATGCTTGATAATTTTTTAATAGATGTCAGATATTATGAATTTTATTTGCTGGGTGATGGATATTTTTGCAGATCTGTTCTAAATGTAGTTAAGACACTTGGAATTAGTTTGCTCTTTTCAGTCTTGCTTTACAATTTGTCATATGAAACCAAGAAATGCTTGGTGTAGGGCTTGATTTTTTTCCCTACTGAGGCAAGATCCTTCTTTGTCCTCTACTGGATGTCCAATGAACGAGGATTTGCTTCAATCTGGCTGGTAGGAGGAGGTGCTACTCCTGCCCCTCTGTGAGTGTTGAGCAGCATGGATTTTCTCTTGACCTCACATAGTTTCTTCACTTGCATGTGCTGATCAGTACACATGCAAATATTTGATAGAGACCCAGCTTCGTTGCTCTTTCTCTTTCTACAGCTCTGTCTTCTCCGTTACTCTGGGTGTCTCCACCAGGGTTCTCCCTTCCTACAAAATTGTCAGACAACTCATCTCATTTGTTTCCTGTCTCCCAAGAAAAGTCTTGTGATTTGATGTCCAATGTTTTGAAATATTATTTCACATATTTTGTCTATATTTTTTATTGATTCAGGCATGAGGACAAATCTGGTCTCTATTTCTCCATCTTGGCTGTAGCAGAAGTCATGCCTGTTAATTTTGGCTAATTTTCTATTGAAAAACATTTAAAATTTTAAATAGATTAATCTGTCTTTACCTTAATGGTGTCTGTCTTTGGTGTCATGCTTGAAACACTTGTGTATTTGATGGCATATAAAATATTTACCTATATGTTTTTCAGTCTTTAATTGCCATATTTTTATATTCAAATATTTTAATATATATTTTATTATAGACAATTTGGAAAATAGCTAAATTGGAAGTGAAAACACCTGAAATGCTTCAGCAAACACACTGGCAGCACACATCTTAACATATTTCCTGTCATGCATTTTGCAATACCTTTGTTTTTTAGATAGTTGTTACCCTAGAGTGTGTGTCATTTACCATGTTCATTTAATTTATTTTCCATCTTGCTGCATAATCTTTATAACTGTATCATAATGGCTGAGTTATATTTCATCAAATGAGTACACTGCAATTATACTACCTTTACCTCTATTGTTAAACATTTTAGTTATTTCTTCTTAAATAGAGTATATGAAACATAATTATCTGGCAGGGCATTTTTAGGGAATCTTAATTTTGCTTTTTTCTTTTCTTTGACACTCTGGGTAGAGATGCAGATATAGTTCCTCTCTCATTCTATCATCACTTCCCCCTCCAGGCCCATACCACTACACTCAGTAAAACCATGTCTCTATAAAAATGAGAAAGAAATAAAAACATTTGTTTCCTAATAATAGTGCAGTCTATTTCTTATTACTCAGATAATTATAAATAGGAAGAATTTTTAAAGAGCCTGTAATGTACATTTTCCATATGTATTAACAAGGCATTGAATTGTTTTCTAATTATTATTTGTGCTTGGTTCTTTTTAGAAAGTTGCTATTCAAGTCAAATACATCATAATGCAGAATTCTTTATCAGTACCACCAAAAGATCAAGGTAAGATAAACCATGCTGAGGAAAATGGTAATGTGCATGTTATAAATAGTGGAAATTGACATATTCAGTGCCACTGTCCTCTGACCACAGGTAATTTATTTCCTGGAACTAAGAAAAAAATTCTAATTATATCAGAAAGTTAATTTCCTTTGATAAATTACTGAAGTGTATATAAGGACATGTATCCTTGATAGAGAACTCCTCGAGAGCAGGGCCATCTCATCCCACACAAAACTCAGAGAATCCAGCCCATTCGCTGGCAGTTAGTTGGCACCAGTTGATGTGAAATGCAATTATCAAGTACTGGCTTTGGTGAAGCAGAACAACATGTTTTAGTGAAAATATATATATATTCATACACATGCTGTATAGAGAGGGGATATTCACAATACATTTCTTTGACTTGTTTCTTCCCATTTTAAAAAGAAACCTAGAAAAAACCATTCTGCAGTCCCACGTGATTTATAAAGAAAATCATGGTTTTTTAACAGGGATTCCTGGAGGTTTTAGAAAAGTAATATATAGGTGGAAATAAAGTCTTTCTGAATACAGAATAATTAAATTTCCTTCACTGTCAAGGGCAAACTCTAACCCTTAGGAAGAATTCAAATCTTTCACCTACCGCTACATATTCTCTTCTACACAGAAGTTTTGCTATGTATGTGAGGAAAATAATGTTTTAATGATGCCAAATTGGGCTTCCTTCACAGAAGATGTAACTTTTAATGAATGGAGGGAATTTGCTACAAAGAACCCTTAACCAAAACAAAAGGCAGCATCGTAACTGGAGTCTATGTTTGACATTTAATTCTAGCACTGAATTGCTGTCTTAAGACACATCACTCGATCCATCTTTCTCATCTATAAATCTATAAAATGAACTTAGTAAGTACTACTTTACAGGTCATGTGGAGATGGAAGGAGATAATACATGTAAATCACCCAGCTCCTTCCTACTTGTGTATTAGCACTATAAGATGACAGTGGGTATGCTCCTACTGGTTGTTTTTAATATCTGGGCTCCATCTGAGGAGGGTGATATAATGAGATGAGCATGGCTGCCTCCTGCTTCAGGTGCCTACTGGCCTTAAAAGGCCAAGCATGATCCAAGGGGATCCAAGGGGAGGAAACACAGAAGAGACTCTAGCTTAGTTTTGGTCTGGACATTTGGCTAAAGGAGAGTAAAAGTCCTTGAGACTCAGGCAAGATCCAGCCCTGGACACAAGGGCAAGAAAGGACATGGGATGAGAGAGAGGAGAGCAACACTAACTAGAAATAAAAGTGTGCATTTTCTATGAGTTGTCTTCTGGCATAGCCTTTGGAAGATTTCTGCAGTAGTAGGTAGCTGATCAAGGGTTTGGAAACTTAGTGTCCTACCTGGTATCACCTTCTTCATCTGAGTTAGAGGTATGACTGCTTAGAAGGAAGAGCAGGAAAGCTGGCCTCCTTTCCTACATCTACTGCCAACCAGCCGTGGAACTTCAGACTACTTATTTTGTTTGTAAGCATTGATTTCCCCATTAGTAAAGCCAGGATTACTAGATATTCTTTTCCATCTCTAAAAATTGGTAAATCTATGTAACTACGCAATGAGCTGCTTGGTTTCTGGCTGATAGAGGGAAGTCATTCATGTCATCTCACACCTTCTGCCTACTTTCTCATCAAGCCTTGTTTTGTTTTCAGGTCTACTTCTCCAGATATTGCATAATCTTAGTTACCTCTATGGGCTTGGTAGGAAAATAAGATGCCTTCAAGCCTAGCAAGGGGTTCATTCAGTAGCTCTAGTAAATACTTCGTCAGTCTTTTCTGAGACCAAAGATGCTTAAGCCTCAAACCCAGAATTTAACAGAGAAAAAGATGACATAACTAAAAGCTCAATTAATCAAGTGCCTCCAGTCACTTTAACCACATCTTTAGATTTCTTTGTTGTACTTAATCCTCACGGTAAGTTAGATACAATCTTTATTTGAAAGTTTCAGGGAGATTGGTTACTTTTACCAAGATCACCAGTCAGGGAAGTGACTGAGCTAAGATTTGAACCCAGATGTATCAATATCCGATACTCACTATTTGTCCCCTGTGTCACACTATAAATCTATAAAGAATACTTCTGGGGATCCCTGGGTGGCGCAGCGGTTTGGCGCCTGCCTTTGGCCCAGGGCGCGATTCTAGAGACCCGGATCGAATCCCACGTCGGGCTCCCGGTGCATGGAGCCTGCTTCTCCCTCTGCCTCTGTCTCTGCCTCTCTCTCTCTCTCTCTCTCTCTCTCTCTCTCTGTGACTATCATAAAATAAAAAAAATTTAAAAAAAAAGAATACTTCTGGTTCTATTTTTAGATTATTCCCCTTTTCCTTCTCTGATCAAACTTTAATTTATATTTCTGTCATCAAATATAATCAGTTATGTGACATGTGAAGTGTGCTGGGCACATGTCACTTGTTAATTAAATGCTAAGTAATTTATTTAACACATCATTGATGGCTATCTATAAATTACGATACTTATAAATTTCAGACCTGTAAACACACATGCACATATATTTTACATATTACTGTATGAAATTCAGGTAAGATATTACCAGCAGAGATGTGGGGCTTAAGAAAATCCAGCATACCATATACTGTCTCCTAATAAAATTTCTGTAGTGGAAGCAGATTTAATGATCACCTGTATGATAGTTAACCAGGAATCATGTCAGGATTCAAAGATCTAAGGAATCCAGAGATAAGTCAGACACAGCTGGTGCTTTCACAAAATATAAAATCCTGTTAGAAGAGCAGACATGTTTGTAATTAACACATGACAAATGCTCTCTTTGAAGAGAGTATGACGTCATTTACGAACCTGGGTGAACCTGGACAGTTGGTTTAGGTCAGAAGTTTTGAGGCTGACGTTTTGGCCAGGAAATAGAGCAGAGGAGATGACATTTGTTCAGGACATTAACACCTGTAGAAAACAACCTAGTGGAATTTAGAGGTCAAGGGATATTAGTTTAATGCTGTGAAAGAACTGGAGGAAATTAATTATAAATTCTAATGCCTTTTATTTAAATGTTTTCTAATTTTTTGTAAAGAAATTTAATATCACCATATCACTGTAATGATAATTTATAGTATATTGAAAGATTTCCATTGTAATTTAGTATCATCATTATTTCTCTCTGCATTGAAGTATTACTTATAGCACCTCCAGAATTTCGTTAGACTTACTTCATTACCATTTTCTATCTTCTCATGCATTCAGGATTTGGGGAAGGACTTACGGTTTTCCCATAACTTTCTGTTCTTTTGTTTGATATTTTCAAATGATAAGATAATAGAAATATAAGGGCAAGTATTTTGTGTTGGAAAATAGCAAATTGTAGCAAGTAATAAACCATGTTTTGAAGGGAAAAAAAGGCATGAAAACCACAGGATAAGGCCAACTACAGTTGTTGTAGTTTCTACTTTAAATTTGTTGAAGGACAAACAGAACTACCACAGTGATTGAAAATGCCCATGAATCTGCTTACTTGCCAGATAAGGAAACACACAAATGAGTGGCTCTGCCAAATAGTTCTCTGACAGGGACAGTTTATGTTGTCCGTGTGCTAGATAGTTCACTGTGGTGATGCCAGCCAATGAAGGATTGAAGTTTGCATCTTGGATAGGGCAGGATGAATTGTCAGTCTCCACGTAGTTGGTTAAAACACGTCCTGCTATCCACTAGGCAAGAAAGAGTCTTCATGTAAGCCCAGGGAGGGTCTGTTTTACTGGAGTCGTTGGAAATTCTTCATCCTCTACCAGCTTCACAGTTCAGCTTTGCCATTGATGAGGCAAGTGTGCCGCAGGTAGAAAGGTCTATTTCCATGAGTCTTCTAATGTTTTTTCTCAGCTCTGTCATATTTATATTGTCAAAGATAGTTTTAAAATTGTGAGCACTATTTTTAGTCAGTGAGAGTAATAATAAATGGGGGTGAGAACACAGCAGCTGCTTTGAGGCAAGAGGGGTTTTTAATGACCCCCTTTGGAACTACTGCAAATAGCTGAATATGCACTGTCAACCCCGACTCAATTCCAAAACCTGGACAGTGTTTAACTGTGTGGTCATGGCCATTACTGTGTATCACGGGAATTCAGATTTGGATCTTGGAAAAAAAAAAAACTGGATTTTCTGATTTAATAAAATACTTTTAAAATAATTACAGTATGGCCTAAAAATATAAAGACTTAAAAATATATACTTACATACAGATGTAAACATTTTGATATTGGCAAATATAGCATGTTAGAACTCAGGGAACATTTGGGGAAAGTAGTGAAAATTCAGTTGTTTTTTTTTTTAAGTTTGGAAAAATAATCTTATTTTTAGGCTTCTAGTATCAGGTTCCTTATATACTTCTTGATGATTTTTTGTATGTGTCTCTGGCAAGCTTTAAAGCAGTTCGGCATGTAGTGGCTTCTCATATATACATTAAATTTTGTTGAAAATGCTTTAGACTCAAACTTCAAAAAAACTCATATGACTTAGATGCTGTGAAAACATTTTAATCTGTGCTTCTTGACGAAACACCCAGGTGGAGTTCCCAAGTCTGCATGTTCACTTAACAAATATATGGCCTTTGGAGAGGCCATGAGCAAAGCACAGGGGGAGAGAAGGAAACCCAAACTAAGCTCTCCTATTACAGCTCAGTTTCAGTAAAGGTGTGCTGCCTATCAGAATGGTTTGCTTTTTATGAGAATTTAACCTAAAAATGGTGTATTATCCTATTATCTAACTACAGTTTGACTTTTCCCAACATGGTATTAAAGCTACTTCTTAAGCTCCTGTCCTGTTTTCTCTTCTCCTCCTCTTCCGTCTCTCTTTCTTCCCTCTCAGTCTGGGAAAAGAATATGAAACTAAAAGCTGAAGGGTTGAGCTCTATTTATCCTTCCACCCTTCTTTTTAGGCTCTGTGTCTTGGCTCAATCAGTGAGCCTCAGCCCCTTCATCTCTAAAATGGGGGTAGTAATACTTGCTCT